TTGCCAGTGTGCTCGCTAACCGCCTGCTTTCAGACGTTTTACCTCTGTTACGCAGGCCCCACATTCCCCTACCTCTTCTACTTGCATATCCACTTTTACCAGCCTTGCTTCACTAATCTAAATGTATCGGTGTTGGAGATTAAAACTTCAGACTTTTTTTCTCATAACAAATTTGATAACCTCTAATTCTGTTCCACTAATATCTTTATGACATTAAAATCTGGATGGTTTTCTCCTTTTCTTTTGGAATGAAGTGTGAGTTTTTGTTTTTGTTTTTTTCTGTAAGAGACAGGGTCTCACTAATATTGCCCTGGCTGGGCTCAAGTGATCCTCCTGTTTCAGCCTCCTAAAGTGCTGGGATTATAGGCGTGTACCACCACGTCCAGCCAAAGGCTAATATTCTCATAATCCTCTCAGCCATTCAGAAATAGGCCTGAAGGATTCTTGGGATTTTGACTTTAGAGGTGATGTGCTTGTTTAACAGCACTGGGAAGGCAAGGTTCAACTCAGGAAACATGGGGCAGGCGCTGTGCTAGGCTTTATGGGTATAATAGTGAATAAGGCAGATGAAATGTAGATATTTGCAAGGAGCTAAGTACTCTAACAGATAAGCACAGAGATTGCAGAGACACTTAACTGGGTGTTCTCTCAGCTAAGAGTTAAGGGGTCAGGAAAAACTTTTCTAGAGGAATGTAGCAGGTCCACGTTAAGAATGCTGTGCAGTCCGAGGTGGGTGTTTGTAAACCTTTGCTCAGCACAGTTTCTAGCTCTTTGTGGCTGAGTGATCACTGGCCATTTGTAGGCTAGGAAATCACTTCTTCCACTTTAATAGACCTTGGAATCACCTGGAAGGCCTGCAAAATACAGTTGCTGGTCCCGCTCCTCATGGTTTCCCATTCATTATGTCTTGGATGGGGCCCAGGAATATCTATATCTAGCAAGTTTCCAAGTCAAGCGGATGCTGCTCATCTGGGAACTACACATAGAAAACCACTGGGCTAGAAATACTAGAACTAACCATTCTCTTTGGGAAGAGGAGAGAGGAATGAGAAGGACCAGGATGTTATGCCCAATTTTTTTTTTTAATTCAAGAGACAATTTCCTCAAAGCATGGAAGATTTGTACTTTGTCCAAAGTTGTTTAGATGAACATAACATCAAATTTATCATTTTTACAGTGATTCTTTTGATACTTAAAATCATAAAGTCAGGTTTTATCTGTTATTAATTTGGTACTCTGGTTAATAGTTATAGTTACTTTTAATTCTTTACCTTTTAAGGAGTTGGAAGAAGTAATCTTTTCTATTTCATGATTTTTTTTATTTTTAAAGTTAATACTAACTAGAGAGAAATTTTTAGAATTTTTAAAAATTTTGTTTTAAGAAACAGGGCCATGCTGTGTCACCCAGGCTGGTGTGCAGTGCTCACAGAAACAACCTGAAACTCCTGGGTTCAGGTGATCTTTCTGCCTTAGCCTTCTGAGTAGCTGAGTCAGACTATAGGTGTGCACCATTGCACCCAGCCTAAAATGGTTTTTGAAATTTAACGCTAAGGCTGTTGCTGCTATATTACTTTGATATTTTACATGACTTTTGGGAGTCTGCTTTAAAATACTTTATAAGTTGTATAAAAATAAATTTTGGTATTTGGTCTCATCTTTGGAAAAACTATTTATTTGAAGGATACGGTAAGAAATTTAACAAGGATTTTGGCTGACCTTAGGGACATATTAACTCATAACATTTTGCAGTAGTCTGGTCTGTCATGTTCTCTAAACATTGAACATAGTTATGTAGAATGCCACAGACTTAGAACAACTAAAGAGAATTGTTAGGAAAAATAGATCAGAAGAAAAATCACCTTTGAGGAGAGAAAGTCAATGTTATGAATGAGAGAATTTATACTTAAGGAATAAAAAGTTCACCTTTTTTTTTTTAATGCTTGATGTTTACTACATACATGAATCTATCTTAGTGAGGGATTATAATACAAATATTTCTAAGATGTTTACGTCTGGCTCAAGTAAGAATCTCATTAAAATAACCTTTTCCTTGCATTTTTTTTGTTCCCTCGAGTCATATCTAGTTGTGTACTATATTCAGAGTTCTACCTTGCCCTAATTCACTACCGAATTTAACTAGAGGTGGCAAAAAACAGAATATTTTATTTCTCTTACTTTACTTGGATTGTCTATAATTGAACATAATTACTTGTTATTTTAACTTCTTATTAAATATTCCAAGCAATTCTTTTGAGAAAACTCACCTAAACTTTGAACAAATCACCAAATTTTTAAATTAAAAAAGCACCCAAATACCTAAGGAATTTGAAATGTAAATGGAAATTTGTTCCTTATTATCTTTAAAGTGCTTCATTATGCTGAATAAATTAGAGGGGTCAGACATTTGTGCTTTTCTCATCCCTCTGTTTTTTTTTTAGCTGCAAATATGATTTCTAAAATATATTAAAATGAATTATTTATTATTTTTAAGTTTTTTATAGAGATGCAGTTTCTCTGTGTTGCCCAGGCTGGTCTCGACCCTCTAGGCTCACGCAATCCTCTTGCCTCAGCCTCCCAATGTTCTGGGATTACCTGTGTGAGCCACCATGCCCAGCCTAAATGCATTCATAGTAAAACAAAGATGAGAGCGGCCTGTTTAGAGCTTTCCTGGTTGTACCATTTTTACCACTGAAAATCCTGCAGCCCAGGAGACCCCTTCCTGTGGCATAGAAAAAATCATGGCAGCTATGATTTGCAGTTTACAATAGTGGATCATCCACTGATGCAATGCAAGTGTGATGTAATTGTGAGCAGTAACAGTCTATCATTGACTTTGCCCATTGCATTAACTGCTGTGATTTGTATTGACATAGTGTTAGTTTAACTTTCCACACTGTGAATACTGTGACTGCATTTTCTGAGAGTTCAGATAATGAAAATAAGAACAGTTATGATATCAACACCAGAGTGTCCCAGACATTACTTACAAGGAAAGTTATTGTATATGGAAATCTATCTGTTGTTTTATATATATTAGTATATAATGATATGTGATAGACAGATGGAAAGACAGAAAATTAAATTAGGGAGATAGATAAGCAAAACAGAACATACTGCACAACAGACAGGAAAGAATTTGGGATTGGGCATTGTTACGGGTTGAATTGTGTCCCCTCCAAAATCACAGGTTGAAGTCCTAACTTCTGATACCTTAGAATGTAACCTCAGTTGGAAATAGGGTCATTGTAGATGTAGTCAGTTAAGATGAGTTTGTATTAAAATATGGTGGGCCGCTAATCCACGTTGACTGGTCTTACGAAAAGGGGAAATTTGGACACAGACATGCACATAGGGATAATGCCACATGGAGATTGGAGTTAGGCTGCCACAAGCCAAGGAACTGCAGGAGGCTGGCAGAGAGTCCTGGAACAGATTCTTCCCTAGTGCCTGCAGAGAGCGCATGACCCTGTCAACCACTTGATCTTGGACTTCTAGCCTCCATAATTGTGGGACAATACATTTCTTTGTTTAAGCCACCCAGTTTTTGGTACTTTGTTATGACAGCCCTAGCAAACTAATATAGGCTTGGTGGAAGAGATGTGTGAGCACCTAAGGAGACTGTGTCTCACAAGTCTAGAATAAGACAGGCAAGCACATCTAAATTGATCTGCACTCCTTCCATCTTGTTTAAATAAAAGCATGTATTATAACAGAAAACTAGTATAGAATAATAATTTCAAATAAATACCTATTCTTCATATCTCTGTGTTAAAGTAATAAAACCTGTGCACAGTTCTTTCTCATACATTGTTATGTCTCTGGACTGGTATGGGCTGTGCCCCAGTTGACTCTGAAAAGTTGGTCACCCCCTGTGCATACAGTACTCCTCCCGCCTGCTGTCTCTGTCTTTGGCCATCCCTCCTTCCTTCTGCCTCATCACACATTCCAGTATTGCTAAGGATAATGAATTTGTGATTATAAAAAGTTTTAGATTAACCTTGTTAAAGGTAGCTCTTAGAATCTAGCTTAGAATTTTGAATCCCTAAAACAATTTTCATGGATAAATATTAAAAATCATCAATTAAAAAGTTCACCTGTTTTAAAAAAAAATGTTTCATATTCTTCTCATTTGGAAGGCAGCATGACATAGCCAGTAGAAAAATAGTTGCCAAACTTTCATGTATATCTAATGTATTGGGATAGGGAGGACTATTTTCTTTGGCATGTAATCATAATTCTGATTTAATTGCAAGTGCTAGAGTGACTCCATTTACCTAGCAGCAAATTTTTAAGTGTATTAAGTAAAATTTTTAGAGTGTATACGTTTGGTTTTCTTTCCCTTGTTTACTAACTGTGCTAAACTTTTCATATTATTAAATTGGTGGGATGTATTGGGTATTATGCTTAAATTTAGAAAGATCCCAAAGATCCTAAATTTAGCTCTAGGATCTTCTAGAACAAACATGGTGGCATATGTTGTCATAGTGGGCAAATATGCCTCTGCCCACAGGCTTATGTATTGTTATTTAGCTTAAGTGCTTTTTTGAGATTTTTAAGGTGCTTCCACTTAGTAATGGATATAAGTGAGTTCTTATCAGGTATTGAATTGTTTTAAAACTCCTCACCTTCTGAAATTCACAGTACTTTGTGATCATTCTTTTCTACAGTAATTTGAAAATGCTATCACTAGTGGTTATTTACAGAGTTAACTTGTTTAACATGAAACAACTGCTTGAAGCCTATTTTTACAAATGGACACTATATACATAAGTGAACGGAAGTGTATAATTTACTGTTTTTTAAAAATACTGTAGAATTCTAAGGGTCTTTCTGTATTCTCATGACGAAAATCAGTTTGACAGTAAAAGGTAGAAAACTTCTTGATCTGTTTTGGTATTGATTGTTATATAATGCTGAGAAGCTATTGGATATTTCTGTGGTATTTGGGAATTTTGTTTAAACCGTTGTCCTTGACATTGTGTTTTATGTTTATCATCCAGAAAGATGGAGTGCTGGCATACGTTGGGAATTTTCGCCTGCTTGCAGAGCTTTCCAGCCCTTTTGTGAATCAGCGGTATGATATTGATATTAATTGATTATCTTAAAAGTCATGCTGTTTATTTTCAGTTTGGGCAGATCCTTTTCTGTGATCCTAAATTTACTATATAAAAGATGCGGAGGCCGGGCGCAGTGGCTCACGCCTGTAATCCTAACACTTTGGGAGACTGAGGCAGGCGGATTGCCTTGTGCTCAGGAGTTCTAGACCAGCCTGGGCAACACGGTGAAACCCTGTCTCTACTAAAATACAAAATAAGTTTGATGGATGTGGCAGCATGCACCTGTAGTCCCAGCTACTTGGGAGGCTGAGGCAGGAGAATACTTGAACCTGGGAGGCGGAGGTTGCAGTGAGCCGAGATTGCGCCACTGCACTCCAGCCTGGGTGACAGAGTGAGACTCGGTCTCTTAAAAAAAAAAAGATGCGATCTGTGAATCTGTGATATGAATTGTTATCACCATCATACAAATGACGAAAGTGAGCCTTGGAAAAGTTAGAGTAACTTACCCAAGTTTCCCTAGCTAGGAAGTGGTGGTGCTACCTTTTAAACCCTGCTCTTTGCAGGACAGTGATGCTTTATGATGCCTGCTTCCAGTGCATTCTTTCACCCTCCATGTTGTACACTTCAAGATGAATGGTACACACTGAATCTTAGAATTTTGTTTATGGAAAAGGATAAATATCACTCTGGCTCATTTTGGGTCCAGTTCATATCCCTAACACTAACTTCCTCCTGTCCCCAAATTCTTATACTGAGATTACCTTAGTGCCTCATTGAAAAACATAATATTTTTATTTTTTAAATGTAAAAGGGTACTTTTGGCTGGGCTCAGGGGCTTACATCTCTAAATCCCAGCACTTTGGGAGGTTGAGGCAGGAGGATCGCCTGAGGCCAGGAGTTTGAGACTAGCTTGGGTAACATTGTGAGATACCATCCCTACAAAAAAAAAAAAAAAAAAAAAAAAGAAAGAAAATTAGCTGGTTGTGATGGTGCATGCCTGTAGTCCTAGCTGTTTGGGAGGCTAAGGCGGAAGGATTGCATGAGTCCAAGAGAGTGAGTGGTTAGTCCAGGAGTTTGAGCTGAGATCCTGCTTGGGCAAAACAGAGAAACCCTATCTGTAAAAAATTATTTTTTAAAAAGACTAGTTTTAATTTAAATATACAACAATGTAAATAACTAACAATTTGTAATATTGATAGCCATCGTTAGGGAATTATTATTATTTTTGAGATGGAGTCTCACTCTGTCGCCCAGGCTGGAGTGCAGTGGCACAATCTTAGCTCACTGCAACCTCCACTTCCCAGGTTCAAGTGATTTTCCTTCCTCAGTGTCTCAAGTATCTGGGATTACAGGTGCCCGTCACCACACCTGGCTAATATTTGTATTTTTAGTAGAAACGGGTTTTCGCCATGTTGGCCAGGCTGGTCTTGAATTCCTGAGCTCAGGTTATCTGCCCATCTTGGCCTTCCAAAGTACTGGGATTACAGGCATGAGGCACCGCACCTGGCCCATCTCAACCATTTTTAAGAATATAGTGCAGTTGTGTTAAGTATATTCACATTGTTGTGCAACAGATCTTTAGAACTTTTTCATTTCACAAAATTGAAACTCTACCCCCATTAAATACTAAATCCCTCTCCTGCAAGCCCTAGACAACCACCTTTGCACTTTCTGTTTCTATGATTTTGATTAAATAATTCACATGAATGAAATCATACAGTGTTTATCCTTTTGTGCCTGGCTTATTTTGCTTACTCTAATATCCTTGAAGTTCATCATGTTGTAACATGTGACAGGATTTTCTTCATTTTAAAGGCTGTTGTATGCATAACACATTTCCTTATTCATCCATCCATGGACATTGAGATTACTTGCACCCGTTGGCTGTTGTGAATAATGCTGGAATGGACATGGACATACAAATAATTTTTGAGACCCTGCTTTGAATTCTTTTGGATATATTTCTAGAAGTGTGACTTCTGGATCATATGATGGCCCTCTTAATTTTTTGATGAAGCTTCATACTGTTTTCCATAATGTGTATATCTTTTTACATTCCCACCAACAGTGCACAAGGGTTCTGATTTCTTCACATCCTCATCAGCACTTGCTGTTTTCTGTTATTCTGATAGTAGCCATTCTAATGGGTGGAGGTGATAGCTCATGTGGTTTTTTTCTTTTCTTTAGTGGTTTTTTTTGTTTTGTTTTGTTTTGTTTTTTTTTTTTTTTGAGACAGGGTCTCTGGTTCCTAGGCTGGAGTATAGTGGCATGATCTTGGCTCACTGTAGCCTCAACCTCTCAGGCTGAAAGGATCCTCCCACCTCAGCCTTCTAAGTAGCTGGGACTATAGGCCAGCTACTTAGAAAATTAGCCACCACACCTGGCTAATTTTTGTATTTTTTGTAGAGATAAGAGTTTCGCTATGTTGCCCAGGCTGGTCTCAACTCCTGGGCTCAAGTAGTCCCCCCACTTTGGCCTCCCAAAATGCTGGGATTACAGGTTTGAGCCACTGTGCCCAGCTGGTCATGTGGTTTTGATTTACATTTTACTTTGATTCATGATGGGGAGCATCTTTTCATGTATTTGTTGGCTATTTGTATATCTTTGAAGAATTGCCTGTTCAAGTTCTTCGCCCGTTTTTTCCTTTTTTTTTTTTTTAAATGCAGTTTTGCTTTGTTGTCCCGTCTGGAGTGCAGTGGCGCAATCTCGGCTCACTGCAACCTTCACCTCCTGGGTTCCAGTGATTCTTGTACCTCAGCCTCCTGAGAAGCTGGGATTACAGGCGTACACCACCATGCAAAGCTAATTTTGTATTTTTAGCAGAGATGGGGTTTTGCCATGTTGGCCAGGCTGGTCTTCAACTCCTGACCTCAAGTGATCCTCCCACCTTGACCTCCCAAAAGTGCTGGGATTACAGGCATGAGTCACTGCACCTGGCCCTTTGCTCACTTTTAAATTGCGTTGTTTTGTTGTATTAGTTCCTTCTATATTCTGAATATTAATCCTTTATCAAATATATGAAAAAAAGCATAGGTTGCTTTTCCACTCTGCTGATTGTTTCCTTTGACATGAAGAAGTTTTAAAGTTTATGAAGTCCCATTTGTCTGGTTTTGTTTTTGTTGCCTGTGCTTTTGGTATTGTATCCAAAAGATCATTGCTAAGTCTAATGTCCTGAAGCCTTCCCCCTATATTTCTTTCTAGGAGTTTCATAGTTTGGTCTTATGTGTATGTCTTTAATTCATTTTGAATTAATTTTTGTATATGGTATAGGGTCCAGCTTCATTCTTAGAATGTGGCTATCTAGTTTTTCCAGCACATTTGTTGAAGAGACTATCTTTTCCCCATTGTATAGTCTTGGTACTCTTGTTAAGTCATTTGGCCGTACGTGCCAGGGTTTGATTTCTACAACAGCTTTCTAACTGACTTCCCTAATTCCAGTCCTCTGAGTCCTTTCCTCACAGTGTTACCAGAATCATCTTTCTTACATTCCACTTTCAGTACCTTATTTTTCACTAAAAACTAAATCCTGTTTATACACATCTCTCTCTGACTTCTGAAGTTTCCTGTGATGTGCTCCATATGTCTTCAGCCTCTTTTTTTAAACCATTCATTAGAATCAGTTTTGTATTCTTACTGTCTTAAGTTCCTTTGGGTTTTTCTCATATTTCTTCCTTAATTTATATCCTCCATTTTCTCTCCATCTTTGAAAAATTTATGTATCCTTCAAGTCTTAGTCAAAATCTAAAACCCAGGGAAGGCTTCTATGATTATATGTTGTCTTTTGTTACTTAGTATAGGGATAACACAGAAAATTGGGAGTATTTCACATCAGAGAGACACATGAGTTAGAGTGCTTACCATGAATCAAGCCTCATGAAAAATTTCAAAGATACTGGCCATCGGAGGCACAGGCAAAGCAGGAAGAAATACATTCAGGGCCACTGACGGGATCGCTAGGTCTGTGTGCATAGGGTACATTCTGGAACAAGATTACTTGTGAGGTCTCTTTTTAAAAATTATTTTTTATTAAAATTTTTGTTGAACCACTAGACCACCTGGGAACCTGTGAGGTCTCTAAGTGATGTGTGCAGTTCATATCATTGACATAGAACGAGCTCTCTTGGTGACAAAACACCTCCACTTAATCTTGAGTTACATAGCTTATGTGGCATTCTTGAGGGGGTCAGATCTCATAAATCCATCCATTCCTGAGTCATTTACCATAAGCAATCCTAGACTAAGCATGTTCTTCTAAAAGCATCCCACAGATGAAGACTCTCGTGCTACAAACTTTATTAGTCTCTTTATCAAGAGGTCTGGCATTAGTGTGTTTACCAGGTGATTAGCCTGGATCAGCTGTCTTTTCTTCTTTTTTTTTTTTTTTTTTCGTTTTTTGGAGATGGAGTCTCCCTTTGTCGCCCAGGCTGGAGTGCAGTAGTGTTATCTCAGCTCACTGCAACCTCCGCCTCCCAGCTTCAAGCAATTCTCCTGCCTCAGCCTCCTGAGTAGCTGGGATTACAGTTGTCCACCACTACACCCAGCTAATTTTTATATTTTTAGTAGAGATGGCATTTTACCATGTTGGCCAGGCTGGTCTTGGACTCCTGATCTCAGGTGATCCACCCGCCCTGGCCTCCCAAAGTGCTGGGATTACAGGCCTGACCCACTGTGCCTGGCCCTTTTTTCTTTTTCTTTTTTTGAGACAGTCTCGCTGATCTTCTCCCTGCTTCTCTCTGGGTGAGTTCTTCCCTCCCAAGGTTTCAGCTCTTAACTATTTACTCATCTTGGTGGAAGGCACTATGCCTTAGTTTTGGAATCAGATAAACTCAAGTAGCAATTCAACTTTGCACTTACTTCCTGTGACCCTGGACAAGTTACTTAATATCCCTGTATTACAGTCATTGTCTCTATAAAAACAACCTATTTAATACTGCCTACTTCTTTGTATTGTAGTCAAGTGTTTTCTTCTCTCAGGTGGCACGTTGAATCAACATGTCTAAAGTAACACAACGTGTTT